ACACCACTTAAAATGGGTACCCAAAAGTGCACCATAGGCCTAGCTGTACTCTCATCTCTGAAAAAAAAGTTGAAAAAGCAAACCTGAAAAAAAGAAAAAAAAATATTACAAAAAATATGCCCTTAAAAAAAAAAAAAAAAAAAAAAAAATTTGTTTATATTTATATATATTTATTTTTATTTATTTGTTTACATGTTACTGTAATTAACATATTTGCAATTTCAAGTCAAAATAGATTTCTTAAAAATTTATTTTTTAAGTTTTGTTTAAAATGTTTTTCTTTTTAAATCTCTTACTATATAACTTATTTTTATATTGTTTATACTTGTTATATTTTTTTTAAATGTTTTTTTTTTAAAATTTACAAAAATAATTTAAATAATTATTTTTAAGAAAACTTTAAATTTGTTTTCTGCAAATTTTGTGTTTAAGTAATTAGCAAAAAGAATGTATTCTCTTATTATTAATAAAAAAACATTAAAATATATAAAAACACTAATGATACTAATTTATTATTTATTAAATATAAATTTACATATACTAAGAATGCAATTAGTTACTTTTTATAAGTTCAACTTTACTTTTTTATAATTTTAATCTGAAAAAGATTTTCTATAACCTGCAATGCATTTGGGTTATAAAATTATTTATAAATTCATAACACTTTGTTACAATTAAATTTAACACATTACATTTTATATTCTTCTTAGATTCCAAAAAAATACCCTTTTGCTTATGCTTTAAACTTTTCACAATATTTAAAATATCACTAAGAATAATACTAGCTATAAGGTCTTTCTATATAAGATCTGAAGAATGAATCTCCTCAAGAACTTGCTTGAGTGCTCACAATGATTTGCATCTGCCTCTGATGCAGGATGCTAAATGTACAACTTTATTAGCTTTTGAAAAATAGTTTAACCAACTTAAACTAAAAATTACCTCAAGCAATTCTTTTAATTTGTTAATATTCTCTCCATTTTTTTCTTTGCTATAGTCTGGGGAAATTTTCTTCACTACATTAAATACATTTAACATCTTCAAACCTTGAACACTAATATATCCACTTTCGACCTATGATAAAAAAATAAATACCGGTATAATAAGTAAAACTTGAATTTATCGAACCCTATGTTATATTGCACATGTGTGTTTTTCAGAAAATTTAAAATATCATAATTGTTTTGTCTGAATAGTCATGCACAGTTAGAGAGGAGCAAAAGCCTTTATAGGGCTAGCATTCCCCAACCTTAAGCTATGACATACCAAAACTCATGCATTTACCATAGAATCATCATTAAATACAAAGTTCAGATGATAGTTTATAATTTACACTTACTTTCGTCCGTTTTCTTTTGTTTTTAATAGAGCCGATTCTACTGCGACGTCTATTATATACGATAAATAATCAAGAAATTCCAGAAGCGATTTGTGGTGTGTCCATAGTTTATCTGACAATAGAAAATGATGTTTACCTCCTTTTGACTATGTAAAAGAAGTAGGTCTTTGAACTAGCTACCCCAAATGCGACATATACTTTGGTCACTAACGAATGAAACGACTAATATTCGTTCATTCACGATCAAAGAATTTTTTTTTCTTTTTTTGCCCGGCTAATGATGACCGTCAATGTTGCATATTGAGAGGCTAGTTGTTGAGTCGGTGATATGGATTAGTCTAGATCAATGATTAATAGTTTACCTTTTCTAAAGAAATTAAACGCGTTGATCGCCATATAAGAGTCTAGTCGGTACCTATTGTTAATCCGAACGATTAAATTGGAGACTTAGTGATTATCAAGGAGTAATTGCTTATGGTTCTTCACCAACGATTTCTACCTTAGTCATTTAATCATCAGCGCCTTGTCGTATGACCATATGACCGGATAGCCAACCGATAGATGCTTTTAAGATGGATTACGATTAATATGATGCAATTAATATTTTACGTGATCTAATTAGATAGGGTTTCTGAAGCTAGATGGAATATATCGATATTATAGTTATTGCATGCAAAGTATGCAATAACTGCTGTATTTTATGGGCGATAGTGATTGTTTGGTAACCCAGCCAGTACGGCTGAGTTACCGAACGATCAATAAAAATACAGCAGCTATTGCATACTTTGCATGTAATTTACTATCTCAGTTCTAACCCCTAAAAATTTAAAATTTCATATCGATATCGAAATAGGTCCAAATTTCAGCATCAGCCGCGATAATCATTGATCTTATTTCATAAATTGATAAATAAAGTGTATATGAGTGAAAACCTGGAAACCGATCATTGTAAATCATTAAATCGGTTTCCAGGTTTTCACTCTCACGCACTCATATGTGGATTTTAGCAGGGCTTATATCTTCAAATAGAGACCCTAAATTTCAGCATCAGCAACAATCATTTTATCATATAAAATGTACCATAAACTAATTGATTTATTTTATAGACTGATCATAGTAAAGTATTGAAATAAATATATATATTTTTAAGACTTACTAATATCTAAAATTATTGGAAAGTTTTTAGATCAAGACCGTAAATTAAAAGTAATGTGGTAACGATAAGGTTTTCAAATTTGAAATTTAATATTTACTATAGTTTTTCAGTAAAATCTTAACAAATTTGAGTTGTATTTATTAAAATTTTAAGCCTTAGCATTTCTACTAAATAAATATTTTGTGAAATGCTTTGTTTATGTTAATTCTGTATTAAGAGAAACAAATTTCAATGAATCGTTTAAATGTACAGGCTAATAACAACCCTAGTTCATTTTTTTACATTTTGTATTTTCGTGGGTGGTAGGAAAAGGGTATGGCAACCAAGAATGTCCTTAATTAGAACTTTTGAGTAGTCTTTCCATTCTAAAGTATGTAAATATGTTCATTTCTGTTTCTGGCTGTATACTATCTTCATGGAATGACAACTTTAACAAAGATGGCCGACCTGACCATTTTTGACGTGTCGTACTTTCGCGTGTGCCATTTTATTTACTACAGCCTGTTTCAGATCTCAGTTCTCTTGTTTATCTATTAGTTTAGCACGAATGATCATATGAATACTGAGGGACTACTGAGGGACGAGCGTGAGAAATATTTTATTGACGGCACTTGATATAAATCAGAGTATATTGCCATTTTTTCATTTAAAGAAAACTGAGAGAGAGAATAAATAGATCATTAATAATAATAATAATAATATAATAATAATACTAATAATAAAGAATTGAATTGGACGCTTATTTTATAAAATAAGGTAAAATAAATACTTTAATATGTGCGCATATGTGCACTCTGATTAAAACGTACCTGATTTATATTTACATATGAAAAAACGATATCAAGCCAGGTTGCTTCATCATTTCATTTAATAATTTTTAATTCACAATTTATGCTAGCACGAAGCTAGTGTAAAATTATATCATCGATAATCACGAGCACCATTAATATCGATATCTGATATATTATCAGTATTCAAAATTATAGTGTTATCTATCGTCACCCCTTTAGTCCAAAAAGAATTCGGATCGATGCATCTTGTCATTATAAATAAATAAAGAGTAATAAATCCCTTGGTAAAATACATGTTTGGAGAACAAAAAAGTGTAATTCCAATCATATTACTGAACAATAGGGCGACAAAGTTTAGTTTAAATAAGTATTTCTTGTCAGGTGGAGGATGTAGCAGTTTGATTATTATAAATTCAAGCAGTAAAAAAAGACCAAGGTATATCGAACTAGCTATATAAAATATGAGTGCGTTGGAGCGAAAAGATTCTGCTTTGAAGATCATGTAAATAGGAAATATTATTACATTAATAAATTCAATTATATATATGATAAAGTTCGATAAGCGATTCATATTTTTTGATTCATTAAAGTTATAAAATATTATTAATAAAATGCAAACGAAAAGTAAGGCTGTGAAGAAGGTGAGTATAATTTTAAAGGATAAATTGAATTGGGATCTATTAAAAAAAACCATGAAAATGGGAAGGACTACAGCTCCGATATTGAGTGCTATAATATCTAACGCTACGATTATGTATGTGTAGGGTTTTCTTATGTGTTGGTTTAATTTGAAGATGCCAAATAAAACGAGCAGTATTAATATGAAAGCTAGAAAATCCAAAATATCTGGAAATGGCTCGTATATTGGATTTGTGGATGTATTTTGCGCATTTATTAAATTTAACCAGGAAACGATACACAATATTGAAAATGTGAACATTAGTTTTTGAAAGAAACAAAGTCTCATCGTTATGGATAAAAATCGAATTAAATTTTTAAAAAAGATGCTTAAAAATAAAACAAACTTATGCAATTGTACGTACGTATGTACTAACCAATGTGCTTAGTTGTTTGTAAAGAAGATCCATGGCTTTCTTTAGTACGTTGTTACTATTTTAGAAAATAATTAAAAATGAAAACAATTGTGAATGATATTTATTTATTTAAAAAGGTATAATATGTAGTAATAGAAAATGTGTTATTCCATTGATTTTTGCTTTAAATGTAAGGCGAGTCAAGTATGTATAATAAAGATTTTCATAAACTGTCTTATTATATAGTAGATTTATTACATTAAAAACAGGTGTAACGGTAGAGCAACTAAATTAAAAGACTGGCTATTTCCAAATATAGATCATAATAATTTTATATGAAATGCACGAATTTCATACTACCACATGGAAGTCCTAAATTTAACGGATAGCATAACAATAAGGTAGTACTAAAGATGAAAAGATTAATAATTGGATATTAATTATTTGCACACTTATTCCAATATTCTCAATCAAATTCCTTTGTTCAAAATGGAAAATCATAACGATAAATTGCATTTATTATTGTTCGAGATGGCGAAGATCTACGGAAAGCATTGTATTTTTTTTCAGGAACGAAACAATTACAGGTTATTGGCTCTTCCCTAAAAATGATTATCTCATTAATTGCCTCGTAAAAAATACTCACATGTACTTCTCTATGTACGGATCCGGCCATTTAATTGAAAATTTTCTATGCCAATACTCCATATTGTCGATAAAGTAACGTCTTCCGTAATTTTAAAAAACGTATTATTATTCAGTACTCATTTCTCCATCATCTTAATCATCTTAATACTAACATAAATTCTACTTTTCGGAGGTGTTTCTGCACTCCAACGTAATTCAATTTCAACAAAAAAAAATCTTTATCGACTTGGCGACCTGGCTTATTTTCTTATTGGACTATGTATAGTGATTCTCATTTAAATAATTAATTACAAAATATATTAAATAAAAACTCATTGTTTTTATTTAGTATAAAAAAAAATCTATTAGATACCGTATGTTCGCGTTATTTAGAGTATATACGTGTTGCTTAGGATACTCACATAAAGACATCATATGAAACTCTTTCTATAATCTTATACAGAGTTTGTTTTAGTCCTGAACTAGTCAGGAATTTAGTTCACGACTTCTATCTAATCCTAGCGATTTAATATATGGAACAATAGTGAATGTGTATTGTGTTCTAATTATAGTTACATGGATCGTATTGAATTTGTTCCGGTATTATATGATCGATGTGAATTAGCCAATTAGAAGACTTTAAGATCACAAAATTATAGGACTAGCTTCACCCGAACTAGTTCATCGTGGACCAACTACTGGGGTGTAAGACTCTATATTTTGCAAACATAGTGCGGCATATATAATAAAATCTAATACTTAGGATGTTTTAATGAGAAATTTAACACATTCGGATAGATCTTCCGGGACAAAACTTTTAATTTTTTTTTCTTTTAAACCTTTTTCAAAGTGCTTATTTGTTCTTTTTCAAAGGATTTATTTTTTATTAATAAATTCTTTTAAATCAGCTTTAGAGGCCACCTCACCAACCTCTTCTTTGGTCTTTTTGCTATGTTACTTCGTAGCTCTTTTCGGACAACCATTAAATCTTATAATCTAAAATTACTTCTGGTTTACTTGAATTAGAGAAGTCTTTGCTTCTTGTACTTCATCAGCCATATTAGGGTGAGTTTTGATGTTATATAAATTAATATTTCCTATTGATGAACTATTATTGATCAAATTTTATATTTAATAAAGTCGTATATGAGTGAAAATTTCCAAAACTGTAGATTTCTTAATGCATTAAACAGATTAAATGATTGAATATTTTTTCTGTTATTTTAATATTCAATGGTTAGTTCAAAAAAACATAGCAAATACTTTATATAAAATCAGAATTATAACTTCTATCTAATAAACATATAATTAAAGGTAAATAAGCCCAACAGCTTATTCATTTTAACAATTCATTTTAAGTTTTTTTAAACCTAATTTTAAACTATGTAATAAAGCAGTAAATTTTTGATTATATAATTTTAAATGTTTTTAATAAAAGAATTAATAATAACACTTTGTGTTATTAAACTAAAATAAAACTTTATTAGTAAGTTTTTTTTTTTGATGTTAAGGTGTGTACATGCAATCTAGGATTTTATTGATAGTATACATTGGTTAGCATTTGTTGATGTAACAAACACAACTAGTTACTTGTACAACTTTAGTTATTGTCTAATTTAAGTAGTCTGTCTAAAGGTTTTATACTAGTTGTTATATTTAAGACTTATCTGTAAATCTTCTATTTAAACACTCTAATCCCATATCCATTATGTCTTATCAATGATTTCAGTAAACTGATAAAGATATGTCATGATCACTAAGTTATATTTAATTTTGTACTAAATCCACCAAAGTCTTCTGTATTCTATACTTACAATTGACTTGGTATTGTTTTGGTCTAAACCATCACTTGCAATCAAGACTAATCATTAAATTACTATACTTTTATAAGGTTCATCTGAATTTCAGTACTCATCTTTCTAATATCTTTTTTATCATCTTTTACTAATGACAGTTAAAAACTAACAAGATTTTTCAGACTTCTAATCCAAATAGTCCAATATGGTATATCTTTAGTATTCTTTTTTTTTAGTAATTCTGGCAGCCTAGTTGGTTATGTGTTTCTCTATATATCTTATTATTTGATTTATTTACCTATTCTTACTAAAGATATTTTATAAATTTTTATCAGTTTAATAGTATTATCAAAAGTTTATATTATCTTTTTACTTAGGATTTTTAACTGAACTTCTGACTTTACAGTTCTTTTGCTTTCTGTACCTAGTGGTTTTATAGTAGGTTTGTACTAAAGTCTTACATAATACCAGTTATTAACATTTCTCTATATAGGTATAATGTTATAATTTACATAAATACTCTAATTTCTCATTTGAGATAATGCAACTAAAGGTTACAAATACACTAATTCAACCAATTGACAGAGTTAGTTACTATAATACAGATATAATTTTTAAAATTTGTTATTTATAAAATTTGAACTCTAGACTTGCTATTTGAGAGTTAACAATCTGATCATTTCACTAGGTCATCACATTCTCTTTATTAGTAAGTTTATATATATGTTATTTGAAAAAAAATATTTGAATATATTATTTTCTAATATATAAGATACATTATTAAACTTATTTAGAAATTTAAAAAATTTTATATAAAAAATTTATTAAACTGTATTATATATATATATTTTTTTTTAATAATCTTATTAAGATTATTCTTGTATTTTATATCTTGAACTAATGTTCTCAATATTCTCAGTTACTAGATCTTGACCTTTTCTAGTCTGTGTTTTTAAACTTTCTAAAAGCAATCTGTTATACTAATTCCTGTTAAAATCAAAAAGTTTCACCAGACTCTGTCTAGAACTAGCTGTTACTATGAGTTTATGTAGTATTTTTTATTGTTAAACTTTTAGCCTCACATTATATTTTATAACTTCAGTTATTTCAAATCAGGTTCTAATTCATATTCATCACCAGGTGGCTTCTCAATTGCAGATTATTTGCCTTTTTTAGAAATAAGTCTGTTCAATAATGTTCTGAGTCTCTGGTGCTATAGTGTTACAGTTTTCTATTTT